AGAGTAATCGTCACCTTATGGGTCAAGATTCCAATAACACCCATATGCTCCTGTAATACTAAAACATTCCCTCAAATTTCAAGCTACTTATCATACTTTTATGCAGCATGGCACACAGTCAATTTAGAAGATTTAGATCATTGAGCTCTTCGAGAACAAAATTAAGATAAAAAATAATATGCTTGACGATACAATACCTTCTCATCACGGAGAGGTTGAGTAATAACGAACTGCGAAAATCGACCGAGGCAAAGAGCGTCAAAGGCTGATTGCACAACAACAACATCGATAGAATCTATGCCGGAAGAGGAAGCCGAGCGTGTACAGTCTCCAACGATTGGGCGGAAGAAGAGTTCCCGATTAGCCGGAGAGGGAGTTTTCGTGACAACGTTAGGGTTGTTCGCGGAGGTCGAAGAGTAAAACGTCGGTGGATCGCCTGCTTAGTGTACGCTTCTCAGCCACGCTTTTAGGTTAGATGACAATAATATTTATTGGCAAGATTAAGACAAATACTTTGAATGATAAGGGAGTCTAAGAGTTGNCAAACTACCTTTCTAACCGAACACAATAAAACCTTAATCAACCGTGAGAGATTAATAAGCAAAGCCAAACCGAATGTGAGCTTCATATGGACCATTGATGATGACATGGCAGTAGTTTACTCTGCTATTGGCTGATTATATTAATCCTACGTGGATACCCTAAGCTTTGAGCTTATTCCCCTTTTAATATAGTATAGATAACCTATTATTACATCCATATACTGTATTTGTGTCTAGACACTTTCATATTCTTTCTCCTTTTTGTTTGAATTTGCTACTAATTTCTTAAATATTTTTGATGCTTAATAACTAACAATTATGTAATAATCCGCGCCTTGCGCATAATGAGATTATTATTTTTGTTATTTTTAAGATAAAAATGATATTATATTTGTTTAGCATGGAAATTGGTTCAGTTTTATACTTTGTTTTTTTAATGCCTAAATCTATATTTATTTTGGTTTGTTTGGTTAAAATGTTTGATGTATTAAATTTTCGATGATAACCAAAAACTATTGTTATTTGTTTGGTTTCGTTTTATATAAATTTTAGACATTTTTATGTCGAACTAATAGTTTCCTATTATAATTTCTAAAGACATGTAAAATCAAATCTAAATAATATTTGAAGAAAAAATAAAATAAAATTATTAACACAAAATATTTCACTACAATTTGAGCGATAGTGAAAGAAAACATTAAAAAAAAATCAACTTCAATAAGAATTAAAATTATCACATGTGGTGAATATTTAGTTATATAATCGATCATGTCAATGTGTACATGTATATGTAAAAGTATATAAATGTGATGATAAATATATGAATATACCTTTAATGAAGATTTAAATTTTTTTGTTCAAAATAACACATGATAGTAAATTCTTAAATAAAGTTAAGTAAAAATAAACAAATATAGAAATTAATAACATTTTCTCATATGAAAAAAATCAAATTATCAAGTTTAGAGCTGGATATTTTGTAATTGAAACCTTAATTTTTGGTCTTCTATGTGCTTCACCAGTCCGTTATTTTGATTAGCACACCTCTTAACTGTCATTCAATGGCTTGTGAGCTATGTGTTGGAATCATTCAAAGAAAAAAAAAGGTAACAATGAAAGAGCTGTGATTGTCATACGCTGTTTAGGGACAGGAGGTGTACGAGACCGGTGCAGCTGATATTAGAATGAATATGTTTGATAACTTTGGGCATTGAGGGGAAGTGGAAGTGGAAGTGGAGGGAAGAGGGCGAGGTCATAGGCCGGGAAGAGGACGTGTTTAGACGTAATGAATATATTTTAGGCATGTGGTAGTGAAACAAAAAAAATTCACTGTAATATCATCTCACATCTGTGCATCTATGTGTATGTGAATTGTTCCTCAACAGGTTCTGAATCTGTAGATGGGTGCTTTTCTAGTGTTCAACATTTTTGGTGATATTTGAACATAACTTCATAACATGTAGCTTACCACTCATCTTAAGTGTGATACACTCTCTTGGAACCAAGTTTACATTACAACAAAAAAAATCCCATCAAAAAACACGTCTGTGATATTACACACATAAGTCGCATCTCTTCTTTTCTGTAGTGAATTGCATTGAAAGATGCAGAGCAGAAAAGCAAACGGACGAGGCAGAGAAGAGACATGGAAGTATATAAATTTATTATTGACGTCTCCTAAAGACGAACAGTGATCCTCTAGAGCCTAACCCCAACCTAAGTTTCTCATCAACGTATGTGATCCTAAGCTTCACTTCGCTTTCAAACCCATACTTAAACTCAAGAGATCCCACCTTCAGCTCCGGAGGCTCAAATATCACCTGAACCCACTCACTGTCCAACACTTTCAGCTTCCCTACAAAGATCAATCAAACACAGGTTTAAACATTAAACATATATTTTGTCTCTGACCAAATACACACACATCTCTAGAGTTTTGCAGTTTCACCTGTCAAGGAAACGTCTCCATCAAGAAACCCTAAAGCAGTAAAGGAAACTCTGTTCCTCACAATATCAGGAGAATCAATGCCTTGTATCATCTCTTTAGTTCTGAAGAAGAGACGGCCTATCCCGCTTCTGTAGCCTCCACCTGGAGATGTTGGTACAGAACAGTACACCACATCCCAATCTACACCACAAGATTCTAAAACTTAAATATTTGATTAAAGGAAGAAGTGAATCTTTTTTTTTAGAATCTTTACCTCCGAAGATGAGAGGGCACTTAACAGGCTCGCTCACACAGTACTTTTGTAGCTCTCCAGCTACTTGTGCCACCTCCTTGTGTTGCTCAGGAGTAAGTGTCACACCTCCATCACTGTTAGCAACCTGTGTGAAACACACCAAACCGTAATCATCAACACTTAACCGAATCAGTATCATACGTCAAATCAAGTCGGAAAGATACAGACCGTAGAGAGGAGAGATGAAATGAGATCATCGGGTCCAGTACGGAGCTCAACGTTGGGTGCTGAAACAGAGCTCACGACGAGTCTCCTGCTCCTTGAGTTGGCCTTATACGAGATGGAGTGTTGAAGCGGGAGGTTCGAGCGCTTAGAGGAACAGATCTGTGTCCGGGGCTCGGAGAAGGATGATGCGATTGTGAGAGAAGAAGCAGACGTAGCCATTGTTGCTCTAGCGAGAAGAAGATAATTGAATGGTGGAAGCAAAAAAAGACAAAGGTGGAGAAGAAGAAGAACAAGGTTACAGTGATCCGGGTGATGCCACGTCAGAATAGAAATCGAAAGTGGGATCCACATTGGATTTCCTCCAGCCACGTAGGATGATATGTTTCTCCCGCGTTATCTCGATTTTTCAGGCCTAGCCCATTTACGGCCCATAATCGTTACCGGGTCTGCGCGTGCGTGTGTTTCGGTTTAACTTAACCAACGCTTGCGATTACAAATAGTAATACCAAAGAGACCCGTAACAGACTCTTACCTTAAAAATGAATTAATCTAAGCCGTTGGTTGTAACGTATCGAATCTCCTTCGTTGATTAGACGAAGCAGCCTACCCTGGCCTCTATTTAAAGAATCTTATCATCATAAGCCGTTCGTACCAGAAGTTTTCTGCTCTTTTAATTTTCCTCTCTGTGATTTTGAAATTCCCCAGATCCAATTACAAGACTCTCAAAAAACTCCTTAATTCATCTTAAACTGAAGAATTAAAATCTACAAAAACTCAAATTCGAGAGAGATTCTCTTGTTACCTTTGTTTGATCGAGTTTTTTTTTCTTTGATCTGTGGTTTATATTTGGAGATTTTCACTCTTAATCACTCAGATTGATTTCTACTTCATCGATCTATCTGTTGATTTGATTCAACTTCAGTTATTCCCAGAAATTAGGGTTTTGTTTCATTATTTAGTGTTTGTGTGTGTGTTTGTATTGTTTAGATGAACGATCAATCTAAGCTCATGAATCCGCCACCACCATCACAGATGATATCTCAACTCCCGCCTCATCCGCAGAGGATGAATCCCCCGCCGAATCCGGTTCAGCCTCGGATTATGAACCATCCGATAATGAATATGAACATGCCGCCACAGGTTATGATGAACAACAACCAACCTCTGATGATGAATCCACGGAACTATAACCCTAACCCTAGCATGAGCTCGGAGTATCAAAACCAGCCTAACAACTTCGGATCTAAAACGAACCGGAGCAACAATAATTGGAAAGGGAAGAAGATCTCAACCGATCAGAGACCACCACCACCGATGATGAGGATGTACAACAACACTCCGCAACAACCTGGCGGTTACAAGCCACCGACGCTCAACGAGCTTCAATCTCAGAACAGATTGAAAACGAAAAAGTTTTACCCGAAGAAGAAGTATGGTAACGGTAACGGCAAAAACCGTTACGTTCCTTACGCTCCGAGGAACACGACGTCGTTTATCATCCGAGCGAAGAAATCCGGCGGAATCGCTGAGTTAGTGTCTCCCTGCCCCGTGACGCCGGCGATACTTCCGACGCCGATGTTTTCTCCGTCGAGGGAGGTGTTGGGTGATATGGCGAAGGAGGAGTGGGGTGTTGACGGTTACGGATCCATGAAGGGGCTGATTAGGCTGAGATCTGATGGACATGATGATGATGATGATGATGATGAGGATGGAGATGATGAGAGTGATGTGGAGGAGCATGTTGAGGTTGAGAGGAGGTTGGATCATGATTTGAGTAGGTTTGAGATGATTTACCCGAGTTATGGCGGTGGTGGTTTTGAGTATAACAATGTGTTGGAGAATAGGGTTGATGATCAGGATAGTCATATTGCTCAGCTTGAGGACGAGAATTTGACGTTGAAGGAGAGGTTGTTTCTGATGGAGAGGGAGTTGGGTGATTTGAGGAGGAGGTTGCAGTATCTTGAGAGGAGGAGTATGGTTGAAGAGGTTGTGGAGAATGAGTCTGGAAGTGAGGAGGGTGATGACGACACTGGTGGGTCTGATTCACGTACTAGTGGTGATGGAAAGGGAAAACATGGAGATGGGGAAGATAGTTGTATGCAGGATAAAGAAGTCAATGAAGATAAGAGGAATGTGGATGAAGTGAAACTTGAAGGTAAGGAGGAAGGTGAGAAGGAGTTTAGGGATGTTTCAGGTGGAGAATGCGAGGGAGTCAATGGTGTTATGGTTGGTATGGATCAGAGTAAGGAAAGTGATATGGCAATTGAGAAGCTTAAAGATGCATCTGAGAATGATGATTCTGTTGGAGAACAGAAAACAACCATATGATTATGGTACTTGCACGGGAACTTATGATGATAGGTGGATGAGAGTGGTGATGCATACCAATTCCCCATGGATATCTGCAGCTCTATGATGTATATGTCAAAGTGTGCTTGTCTTAGTAGTCGTAGTCTATAGCTTTCTCATCACTTTTAGTATCAAGAGAGAGTCAGGAGAGTCGCTTTCCAGGTGAAGTTCGTGTGAAGTTGTCATGGTAAAGCTTTCTCTTCTGGTTCAGATCGTTTTTACTTTTAATGACCTGGTTGGTTGATCTTGTTAAGCTCTCCGGTTAATAAGATTGTTGTAAAAGCAAGGATTATTGTAGTGAAAGAGCTTACGGATGATAGGGTTTTAAGTTTCTTTTTTTAATGCATTTTGCATGTTTCACTTTTAATAGCACAAGAAGAATATATATTTCGCTTGGGTTTGAGACAGTTGCAGAGAGCTGAGCTTGAAGAGAACCCTCTCACTACTTCTGGGAGAATGATGTCATGTCTATTTGGGCCCATATGGGTCAGGTAGTTGGGCTATTTAATGTCAGTTATACATTCCCAAATAATTTGAGATAAAAGAGGCCTATTTACCTTTTATTTATTGTCTGGGTCTCACTTGAATTAATCAGTATTTCAGAACTTTTTGAAAATATTTTTTTTTTTTTCACATCTGGCCTCATTTTAGACGATCGGTTAGAAAATTTGGCAAAATCATAGTGGGGAAATATCGCTTTCAATCCTGAGTATTAATGAATTGTCATACTCTAAAATCTTCCCCTAACTTTATAAAAGAGTGGTGGGAATTGAAAGTAAAATACGTCGGTGTATTTTTCTTTTTCTTGTTCTTTTCTTTTGAAACAGTCGTCGGTGTATTTTTCTCATAAACAAAATTGCAAATTAAAGATTAGGTATTATAATAGTAAGCCATTGCTTTCAACATTACTCTTTTCTATAACCAAAACAATGCAACGTTTCCGATAACTTTTTTAAAAAAAATTAGCAACAGATAAGCTGTATCCAAGATTCTTTTGTGACGGAGCATATTTTATTCCTGCAAAAATTATATAACGGCGTTGTGACGATTTCTCTTTAAGAAAAAGTGAAAATCACGACAATAACAACTCCCACTTGTCAAAAAATGACAAGAAGAACCACTACTACCATTAGTGGTCCAAGTCATTGTACACATATTAGTTACAATATTGGTATCAATGCAGTGTTGTCTTGTTGATATTAGCTTTTACATCATCCATTAAACTTTCTATTGCATCAAAAAAGTTTTCTTCGACTCTCAGTTACCATACGATATTTACGAGTACAAGCAGATCACACAAACAGAGAGACAACTTCATCTACATATATGGACACTCTGATATGACTGAAAAAGTTGTACTCCTACACATACTTAAACATCTCACATGCGAAACATGGTTGCTCCATATATAATACATAGAGCTGGTAATGAAAAATCAGGCTGATAAAATCTACTTAGCTCCAAAGGGGAACCACATCTCATGGATGTCTGACTGGTACGAGACCATGAACAAGATGACCACTAGCACGGCTGCAACTCCCCAAGGGGAAGAGCCAGCATGGTGGATGGAGTCTTGTTCAGGGTAGGGGACAAAGGAGGAGAGACCGCCGGAGAAAAAGTGGACGAGGAGGAGGAGGAAGAGAGGGGAGAGGATGATGAAGAACTTGAGATTATTCATGGTGTCTTCGAGGATTGACTCGTAGTTCAAGTACCATGTGAAGGAGAACACGAAGAAGACGACCATGAAGAAGAAACATAGATGTGGGTTTGGGAGAGAGAGGTAGTCTAAGTACGATGAACCGTAGTATGGTGATCTCGCCATGTCTTCTTGAACTTCTCTGACTTTGATAAAGGTATAGAGTTTTTAGAATGTGTAAGTGAAACTATAGATGTCTCTCTATTAGTATGTGTGTGTGTATATATAAAGAAAGGGGTAATGCTTTGAATGTGTGTGCGTTTTTTCCGCTTATTATTAGTTGATTAAAATATTTTCAGGGCGTTTCGGGTTCTGAAAATGGTCGGTCGAGACCACGTGGATGTGGTCCTATGGTTCTCTGTATTGAAACTTCTAGCTTTTGGCTTTTGAATTTAAAGACAAATAAAAGCTAAACTAAAGGGGTGACTCGTATTCATTTCATTTTAAGACTATGATTTTAAAATAAAAGGTAGGTTGAATCATGCTTTGTGCTCTTAAACTGATAGGGATGTTATTAACTTATTATTGAGCTATGGTTCTATTTGGATTGGTTACATAATTAGAGAAGAATATTATCTCCTGATGTGTGATTGATTATCGCTAGAGATGATAGATAAATGGTGTCGTTGTCCGATCAGCTACATCAGGGATTACGTTAGTACTTTGATTTTCTTAACCAGAGTCTATTTTTGGATGGTCATGCTGATCTTATACGTGACATCGATTAGATTTACACAAATATTACAATTTAATCGCGTCTTCTCATTTGCCATACACATCAATACATGAGTCATGACTACACACAAAGCATCATCATTCTTGAAGCAAAATCAAGATCTTTGCTAACTCAACTTATATTCATTTTAAATTCATTCATCTTAGCAAATTTACATTTATTTCCAACTTCCACAAGTCTGAATGAGACCATTGGTGCATGGTCCACATTCTACCGGGAGTTTTCTTCTTTGCACTTGGTCTATGCCTCTTTAACCTTATCAATGGTTGATGATATTTGGGAATTTTTTACAAAATTTCTAGTCTTATTTAAAATAAAGTCACAATTATTTGGAAAATCTAGAAGTCCATGTAATTTACGTAATTTGGACATACAATCAAGCTATTTCTGGTATAAATCAGAAAGCATTGTAAACTCAGGTTAGAGAGTGTCCACTCTCTTAGCACTAAAAGTGCATTTTTTGGAGCTGATTGGATCAACGGATAAGTTATATAAAAAACAATATAATGTATATGCTCTATATTAGTATTTTCCTAGTCTCCTCTGAGATAGCCTTGTGATATGCGAATTGTCCAAAGTTTAATTTCAGTGCAATTTCTAAGTTAAAAGTTACAAGACGGCCTTATTCTAGGCCTTCGAATTTAGGGAGAGTCCACGTAAACCCAAAAGCCCACCCGGTAGGTTTTCTTGTTTGTCTTTGCCTTTGCTTTTATGAATAAAAATAAACTAGATCATAACCCGTCCGACTGGGCGGGTTTTTGTTTTTATAATATAGATAACATTTCAAAAAGTTACAATTTAATAGTTCCAATTTTACTAAGTAATAGTATATTGTTTAAACACTGTATTTCATTATTGTATTGTGTAACAGGGGCGTCGTAAAATGTTGTGAA